GTTACAATAGCGAGGGTGTATTTTTAAGTAAAAATTCCTCTTTAGATCTAGCGATAAATTTGACAGATGAAGCAGTGTCCATATGGTTCTTGACCTCGGCATATGAAGTGATTGTGTGGTCAGTACTTTGTTTAGCCGCCTTTACTTTCCCCAACGTAAGTTTAATAGGACCCAGGATGGGTGTCTTATAGTAACAAGTCCTAATCAAGATTCGAACTCGAGACTTTCGTGTTAGTAGCCAAACGCTCTACCATTAGACCACGTCATCCCCCTGGTTGTATTTATGTTTGTGTAATACTGAGCTTTAAACCTACCATTGTACTTGTTAGTTAGGTCCCAATGTTCTGCAAAGGAAGTTATGATCTGTGTACACGCCTAGTATAAAAGCCAGCCATTGATTTAGAGCTGATATATAAATCATGGTAAAGCTCAGGTTTTAGAATGTTACTCGAACCATAGACCTGGTAGTAAAGAGACCTCGACCTTGCTTCATTTCCAAGACACGAAAAATAGCGAGACGTAATGATGTGCCGCCTGCTGCTATGTACCCGAGTGTTTACGTGGCCACAGTAAACATTACAGTCGTAGGACGTGTTCGTGCAGATAGACATTTTTTTAACAGCGGGTTACCGCCCTGGCCAGAGAATACAAAAACAGTTGCCTGGTGGGATGTGTACTGTAAACAGCTCACGGAAAAAAAACGGGCCTTTAAATTATTCAACGAGCTTTTTCGCATCGATTTTATCGTTCTTGGAAACCGATAACATTTCTTTGTTGTGACGCCGAGTCACACGATGGATCGTCACGTGTGGGACTAGACGCGGGGTGGTGGGGAATGGGGGTGGGGCTCTTGAAGTTTTATTACACGTGACTTGGAACCCGATTGATGGGGAGGGGGGGGGGCAGTTGTAAAGAGTAAGGAATGTCAGTAAACACTGGATAACATTAACGAAATAAAATAAAACAATTCATTTCTTTGGAAATTAAAGGTTTGAATGTTGTATATTATTTTCAGTTTTATATATATACTAGGCATACTGCCTAGCTTCGCTTAGGTTTTCAAAAAAATTGAGGAATTGAATAATTAATTAAATGCCTAGGGCCTAAATTTATACAGTGGAGTAATTCTATGCCACTAAAATATTGATGGAATATTCGCAAACTTATCACTCGCACGGTTATTAGAACTGCAAGGGATTTCTAAATAGTGTCAATCAAATATTATAATAAATTACTTTCGCAATTAATTTTTACAATTTCAGTACAATGCTAAACCTAATTTATAACAAAATATTTATTTAAAACAATGCTATACTCTATGATATATATATATATATATATATATATATATATATATATATATATATATATATATATATATATATATATATATATCAAAGTAATTTAGATAATTTGATGGTGTGATTGAACATTGTCGTCAGGTTTAAAGAATATCAAACATACCCTTTAAAAAAATCAATAACCGGTACAACGAACGTAATGGCCTACACCTATGGCCATACATCGTACAGTGGCTTTCCTGGTCCTAATGCCTTTAAACTGTTAGCAGAACGTGCTTAACTCTGACAACCTAGCATTAGCGTAACTTGCTTGCGGCCTTAGTTCGCCTTAAGCCAACAAATCATATTTAACCTACTCCCCCCCTCTTCTTCTTCACCCTATACCCCCTCCCCCCTCCCCACACCATTCCAGAAATTCTTTTGTCATGTTGTAAATTCAATCCTGACTTGCATTATCTGACAATCTCGTCATTTTTTTCCGTTAATTTATAAATCAAACTTCATTGACGTCATCGTTCTTTGCTGTCTTTTTATTCTATTAAGTTGTACCGCAGTTATTAATCTACCTGCTAAAAAGTATTTTTTTACCCGGCGATGACGTATTTAATAGGGGCGATCACATTTCATAATCTTTACTGCACATGTTTGACTGAGTCTAATTTGTTGAATGTCTAGAACCGTGCCCGTCTTTAATCTGTTGATCGATCTTCCCAAATCAACCATTGACTGTGGATTAGCCGTCATTTAAATCAGGATAAGTCACACGGTGAGAAGTGGAAATCCTATTACTAAAGTTACTAGTTGTCATACGACTACAGCTTAATTTGAAATAATTTGCTTTTAAACGTAGGCTATGTCGCGTTTAATTTTAGAGGGCAGATCATTAAGAATCAAATTTATCTAGATATAAACAAATGGTATTCCAAATTATTTAATAAAATTGATTTACTAACTAACAAAAAACAATCTTCGTAATAAGGAGTACAGATTTTCAAATTAGAAAATCTCGAGAATCGTTAAAATTGCAGCCCTATACAAAAAGGGCTACTATAACTTTACTATAAGTAATTATGACAGTCATAGGGTTGTAAAACTATACGATTTGAATTAATTTCAGCATTTTCCAAATTTTAGTGTATGACTTTTAAGAGCGTCCGAATTTAAGAAGGAACAAAGCGCTAGTCTACTACTTTTTCAGATCTAATTGTTAATTAAAGAACTACTTTAGAACATCAAAAATGTAGTGATACTTTTACATGATTAACTATAATAATCAGAGCTACTATAGCACGTTTTAAATTGTCCAATTTATTGCTACTTTATAAGTGAAAAATATCCGTACGTAGTGCTATTATAGCGCGTTTAAGTATTATAATAATTTTACAGCTATTTTAGCACGTGTTAAATATCCCAATGAAGTGCTACTTTAGCACGTTCAACAGTCTACTGTAGTGCAACCTGAGCACACTTGAATTGTGCAAAGTACAGCTACTTAAGCACACATAAATATCCCAATGTAGAGCTACTTTAGCACAATACAATATTTTAACGTCTTACTACCAAATACCACAGGCCTTAAGTTCAAGGTTATGCCCTGGTTACGGGGCAGGTGATCGAACTTTGATCTCCCCCCCCCCCCCCCCAATCACTCGTGCTGTCATAAACACTCTGACACTGAAACGAGGGAGGGGGGAAATAGTGTGTATGGGGGAGGGGAGGATTAAGTACTTAGTCTGAACCTACTATAGTGAAAAGAGAGAATCTAACAAATTACATAAAAGTTTTACTGAAACAATCATTATAGGTAATATGTAGGTCTATAATCAGCCAATAGATGATAATAGACATAGGATTGACAGAAAAATAATAGAGAAAAAAGAGGATGAAAGAAAAAAAGTAGAACAACAATTAGACCCAGAGAACTAGCACAGGTCTACATGTCTGACTGAAGTGACCTGCCCTTGTCCTGACCTGATATCGATCCAAGGTAAGAGATCGTATATCAAGATCTAGGCGATTGATTGTGGTGCTGGTTGATTGGTTTATGTATCGATATAATCTCCCACCTATAGATCTCTTCAATATTTAAATACGGCCGGCTACACACACGCGCACACACATATAAATGCATGTATATTACTATGTATGTGTTTCAGTATGTGTTGTATGAGTAAATATATAGTCCTACCTACATATATATATATATATATATATATATATATATACATACATATATATATATATATATATATATATATATATATATATATATATATATATATATATATATATATATGTATATAAAAAAGTGTATATTTTAAGTCTATTTATTTTTAAGCATACATTTTTAGGTATATACACACACACACACACACACACACACACATATATATATATATATATATATATATATATATATATATATATATAGGTATATATATATATATATATATATATATATATATATATATATATATATATATATATATATATATATATATATATATATATATATATATATATATATACTTATTTATATATTTTATGTATGTATTTAAAATGTATGCGCATATTTTTCCATGTACTTTGTTTATAAGAAGGCCCCAGTATTGACCTGTATGGAACAAATCATTGTGACACATTGAAAGAGGTCCACAAACTTAGGTTTATTTCTTACACAAATGCGGAAGATCCAGACTAAAATCTTCCACTCTAATCAAAAGACGACCTTCGTCTTATCTAATTTATTGGTTTCCTATCTCTCGGCCTAGTCTTGCTGACATGCTTTGATTTAGACGATAGTTTAGTTCGGCAAGTTCGATAACTTGGGGCTGTGTTTACAAGGTTAGAAGCGGGTTGTCTCCGACTAGATGTGTTAACATTGTTGGTGGTGAAAGTGCAGATTTATGCAATGATCTCCATCAACATCATCCTTATCATCATCATCATCATCTTTTGCAGCAGCAGCATCTCGTCTTCATAATCATATCATCATCATCATCATTATCAATCATCATCATCATCAATCATAATCATCATCAATCATTACCATCATCATCATCATCAATCATCATCATCATCATCATCATCAATCATCATCATCATCAATCAATCATCATCATCATCAATCATCATTCATCAGTCATCAGTCAGTCATCATCATCATCATCATCATCATTATCATCACAGCAGCTGCAGCATGTTTTTACGTTCGTGCCCAAGACACATGAGGCAAATCACTTAAAGTCTATTCGTTTTAATGATCTCGGCATACAAGAGGAGATAGTGTGGTCAGTACTATGCCGAGCCGCCTATGTTTTCCTAAATGAGTCAGGTACCCATCAGAGCTGGGTGGACTCAGGTACATCCTACAGATCTAAAGACCGACAGAATCCTAGACCCCATGACTCGAGCAAGTAGAAATCCATTGAGTTCATCCAGCTCTCATGGGCACCTGGCCGTAGTTCATGATAATAAAGTCTATTAGTAGGTTGTTGAACCTATTACTGTATTCCGTAAACCCGATCTCCACATCATCTGCCCATTACAACCATCTTGTTAGATAAGCCGCATTTTTAACTGGGAAAAGAAGTAATTTCTCTTACTTTGTGTTTTTTTTTTTGTGTAGTGTACTGTTTGGTTTTCAAACTTTATATTTCTTGTAATAAACATTCTAATTTGTCTATTTCAGTGTTGTACAACAGCATCAAGAATTGAAAACTTTAAAGAAAACTAGCTTTGTGTTTCCATCATGACATCAACACTGCGACACCAGAGGTTCGAACCCAAGCCAGCCACGAAACCCAAGACAACAAACGAGAACCTGACCACGAAGCGGAAGACGTCATTACTTTCTGGCATGTCTCCGGAAGCCAGGAAAGCCATGCTGATGATCAAACAGGACAGCAAAGACAACGTCACTGCGCATGTCGGAACCGGAAACGGTCTAAACACCAAAACGAAACCGCTGGTTTCGACGTGCAGGCAAAGCGACAATAACAACAACAGCGATGTTAGTAAACACCCAGTCAATAAAAACGAAACGAAAGAATCGGACATTCCCGCACAACAAAATGGCGGGAAGCACACGAAAAGCGAGCAAGAGGTCCAGAGATTCCGCAACGTGAAAGCGTTTTCTCACGCGACGAACGTCACGGCGAGATCACGGAGCACGCTGTCACGCACGGAGAAAACGTACTCCGAGGAGGGTCACTACGAGAGCGGCTTCCCCTTTGACCAAACCAGCAACGACAAAATCACCACCAGCAGCCTCTACAACACCAACTACGAACACGACGACGACATGAATAACGGGAACCCCCGCGTCTTCGAATACGACGACGAAAGAAACGACGGCTCGGATGACGAAAACGAAAGTAAAAATAAAGAAGTCTCGTCTTCAGAGCAGGAATCTGAAATCCCTACGAGTTTCGTCTTGGCTTTGGACCGCGCTTTAGAAGAAAACTGCATCAGCCGACTCCGGGGCGACATCACGGACACGATGAGGATTTCAGAAACTGGCAAAGTTCGCGCGCTTGACGGCGGACGTTTGGCCAACGCCCAGGAAGTTGTCGTCAACGTCTGCCACGAAGACGATAAGGAGCTCGTCTTTCACGACGACGACGAGGAAAGTCTGGAAACGGCGAAGACGATCTCGCAGATTCGCGTCAACATCTGGATGGAGTACAACGCCAACTTTGAGCACGAGAAGGATGAAGCCGCCGCGATTGACCTTGAACTTTGCTCCGACCCGGAACCCAGGCTGGAGGCCAAACCGGAAAGGTCGTTTCTCAAACCGCCAGCCGTCACGACGGCGACGCCGCGAGGTCGGGAGATCAAAACCTCCGCCAGCAAAATGGATTTCTCGCCACGGAACAGAAGTAAATCGGTACGTAAAGACGGCAACAACAACAGCACCAACAACAACAACAGCAACGGGAGCTACAGCAGCGCCAAAACTAAGTCTGCGACTACCGGCAGCATCACAGATCATTCTTCAACGAGACTGGGGTCCGTCAAGTCCACAACGGATGCCAGAATTCCAGGATCCAAAGACAAAATCGCAATCCGTTCAAAATAAAATCAACACTGCAGTAAAATATTGACCGTCGAAACGCTTAAAGTTGACATCTTTTCTTTATAAAGTTTTGTAATTTTCTAGCAGATACAAAAGACTGTCTTCAAAACTGTCGCTGTTGTCTGTATTAGAGACTTGCCAAAATGTTTTTAAAATAAACTTTTCACTACAATTGACAATCAAAAACGTATCTCTGATTTGAGACTTGCATCAATATCTTTTTTAAAAAAAAACTTTCACTGCTCTTGTTCACAACGTTCCTGAATGTGAAGACCTACATCGCTCCGTGCCAACATCGAACTCTGTAAGGTTTTAGTTTTGATGGAGATGAGACTCGACGTGTATGGGGACTTAATAAAAAAGCTTTACGCTTTCTGACATAAATTAAGACCCACAGACGTACTCGGCCACAAACTAACAGTCTAACAAAACTGAAAAAAAAACGACACAATCTGACGCATTCCGAAATAATCTGACAAGATTTTTCTTACACTATCTTACATCACTACAATAGTTGTCTTTCAAATATTTATGTAATCATGTTTTATTTTAACTTATAAAACTGTAAATAAAGTGTGGTTTATGCTTTAATATATTTATTTTGATGCATCGTGGGATTGTGTAGACTACTGGTCTGAAGTAAATGTAGATGTTGTAAGCTTTTTTTGTAAATTATATTTGTATTTCGGTTTGGTCAGTTTTTTGCTTTGATCAAGTTAGGTTTTGGTAACGTTTAGTTTGTTTTGGTAAAGTTTAGTTTGTTTTGGTTAAGTTTAGTTTGTTTTGCTAAACTTTAGTTTGTTTTGGTAAAGTACAGTAAGGTTTGTAAAATCCTTGTGTGGTCAAGATTGTTTTGGTTAAGTTTGATTTATAAGGATTTTATTGATAATGGTGTACCGTTGTTGGGTTGATAAATTTTGAGTGTTGGATTTCTTTAATTCAATGCAGGGGGTGTATTGGCGATACAGAAAAGTAAAATGTGTGTGTGAAAGAATGTGTGTTGCGTCTGTGCGTGTGTGGGTAATGTGTGGTTTGTGGTTCAGTTGTGGTGTGGTAAGGTGTGTGGGTCACATCAAAGTTTTGACCAACTTATGGAGATGAAGTGGGGATTAACTGTTCCCCCCCCCCCCCCCCATACCCAAAACTCTGACCTGGCTTACTTAAGCGTGTGTAAACATTAGAGGTCAAAGTTGAAATGTCAAAGTTTTACAACCAACCTATAAATAGTAGGTGTAAAGGATCAATTACCTGTGTTTCATTTGTAGGATAACCACTATGTAACTCCACCCGACTTATTTGAAGTATAACTAACCATAACTAGACTTACATGTTGAAAAAAAACGCACAATCAGATAATTCCAGTGGGTAAAAATAAATGCACACGCCTCGAACAATCATGGGGCAAAAATTATCCCATGATTGGAATTGTTCCATTTAGCTGAATGCATTGCTAGTCAGAACTCAATCTTTCCGCTTGATTAATTTCTGATAAATTAAAATTAAATTAACAAATCCCAGTTTTTAAAAAATGTAATACTTGCATTTATATTTATTTATTACTATGTTGATTGTATAACATGCCTTTAATTTGAATTTATAATCTTGAGTTTGTTTCTTTCCATATTTTTTATGATTATTATGTTTAAATGCCCGGAGAGAGTCAATAAAGTAGATTTTGTTTTGTAAGATTTTGCAATGTAACATTTATGTCAATAAATGATTTTGGTATCAACAAAAGAAAGTGATTGCCTTTACAATTGACCAAATTAACACTGGCTGAAATAATTTGTCGAATAAAATATTGACTAAGGACGGCATGGTCGGTGAGTAGAGCGCACGCCTGCCCACCCAAAAGCCTTGAGGTCGGATCCCAGACTCATGTCAGTAGGAAGTCCCTAAGTCCACCCAGCTCTGATGGGTACCTGACTAACGTTAGGGAAAGAAAAGGCGGCTAGGCACAGTGCTGAACACACCATTTCCTTATATGCCAAGGTCATAGAAACAGGTGAACTCTACTTCATCTGCACACCTCGCGGTCTGAAAGAGTGTCTTCTCTTACACGCTCTTTACATAAAATATGTTAATGAAAAAAAAAGTGTATGTATAGCAATAGGTTTCTACTTTATATTGTTATTTTATTTATTTTTCGTTTTAATGTAATATGACAATCTGGAAAGTTGGAATTAGATAATAATGAGCTCTAGAAGAAGTGCTAGCATCTAAAAGATGTTATGAAAGAAGAAAACGTATGAGCAGCTCCCCTTGGTCGTTATTCAATGTCAAAGGACTTTTGAAAAAGTGTCAAACAAATTAAATTGATTGTCCTTTCAAAAAAAAGAAAGAAAATATGTAATCCCATTGTATTAATGTAATGTATTTCCTGATCCATGTTATTTTATATTCCTTATATGCCATGTTGAGTGCGCTATTTTCTACTTGTAGAAGCCGTCAAGATCTGCAGGACAGATTATGGGCATGGAATAAAGTTGTTTTAAATCTTAAACTTTTTCCTCGTGTGTTTTTCTTTCTTAGGTGAATAAGGCAGTTTAACGGTAGAAAATACTTTAGTTCACCAAAACAATTATTAATAAGCATTAAACATCTAACAACTTTTTGAGACAAATTTAAGAAGTGTTGCTAATATTAATCGGTAGTACCAAAAGGCCGATACAGAAAGATGGCCATCATAGCTAAATGATGAGGACATAAGGAGACAGGATATCAAAAAATAGCAGTGGCGTAGCTAGGGTAGAGCGGGTGAGACTGAGGGGGCGCCAAAATGGGTAGAAAAATTTAAAGCTAATTTTAAGCTGTGGTAGTGAATTGTATATAGTCCAGGTTAAGAAAGTAAACGGCTGCATGGTTTCACACGCTCATTTAACTGTTTTCTCTTTGTGTGGCACCACAATAGAAAGCTTAACAGGAACGTGACTAGTAAAAAGCACAACAAACTTGTCCAACTAAGTGGGGAGGGGGGGGGAGGCGTTTTTTCACCAACTTTAAAAAAAATTGTATATATAAATGGACGGGATGGGGCCGGAATGGGTCAATACGACTCTTGGACAGAGTGCCATTTTAAGGGTTCTTGATAGCGGCCTATAATCTGATTGGGCTACTGACTGCTTTGTTAGACATTACAAAATTTGAAAATTAAAAGCTAATTTTTTATGCAGATTTTTTTTCCCTTAGAACTATATCGAAAAATGGACGTTATACTAAATTTTAAAATTTAAATCATTCCTTAGGACTTCTTATGCAGTGTTTCTTCCAGACTTTTTTCTCCGGGGGGGAGGGGGCACTTGATATTTACGGGGGGGGACACTTGATATTTTGGGGGGGGGGGGGCGGTGTCAACATTTTCCGGAGGGGGCGGACACTAGTAAAAGTATATCTCTACTATATAAATTCCATCTCGTTCGGAGGGGCGGTAGACTCTCTGAAACGCTCTTCGGGGGGGGGGGGGCAATTCCTCCATGTTGGGTCCATGAATTTTAAAAACATTGACATGAAATCAAGGCCTACGACATCATTTGTTTATAAAATCGGCATCGACTACCCTGTCGCAGTAACTGACCTATGACCGACACAATTCTTTGTTTTATTTTGGTCCACAAACTTGCATAGGGCCACTCCAACATAAAAGACAAAATTTCCCCCCACTCAAGAAAAATTAATTCACGAATGTTTACTCAATTTTTCAGGTCGACCCTTGGCTATTTTTAGCTCATAATTACCACTGTTCAAACAACGTTGACCGGCTTGGCCAGGATTTTCCCACAACGAAAAGCCAAACTGTTATGAGTAAACAGCGGAGCGTATTCAGAACGGACCAAACGTAATCCATTATACCTTTCCGAATCGATTACGTATTCAACGGTATCGATGACACATCGCGTGCCCTTGTAATGGAAATGTGAGATACGTTGCATTTTATGAGCTGGTTTTGTGGGGTTTTTTTCGATACAGAAACTCGGAATGAATTAGCATTTTTATAGGTTTGTCCTGGTTGCTTACTATGAAACTACGCACTTCTAAAGGTGGTGATATTATTTAGTTGCGGAGATTTAGATATCGTTCGCTAACAATCAAATTTAACTAACTGGTGTGTTTGAGAGTTGAATTTTAGAGGGAGGTAAAAGTTTGTGTTCTTGACTGAAATTAAAGTGTATGCTGTAGACTGAGGTTAAAGTTATGCTCAAGAGTTAAAGTTAGTGTCCTTGAGTTGGGTTAAGTAAATTGGTGCCCGAGACTGAAGTAAAACTTATGCTCTAAATTTAGTTTTAAAGTAGTGCCCTAGACTGAGGATAAAGTTAGTATTCTAGTGCTCTAGACAGATTAAGGTTAAAGTTGGTGCCCTAGTGCCCTGGACTTAAGGATTAAATTTAGTGCCCTAGTGCCCTAGACTTAGGTTAAAGATAGTGCCCTAGTGCCCTTGATTTAGGTTGAATTTAGTCTCCTAATGCCCTAGACTTAGTTTAAAGTTGGTGCCCTAATGCCATAGACTGGTTGAAGTTAATGCCCTACACCTAGATTAAATTTAGTGTCGAACATTGTGACAGCATGCACTTACCTGTAAGAGATTGTGTTTGATAAGAAAAACCAAACTTTCGGGTCACTACTTTGATGGGACGGAACACACTGGAGTAGGTTGAGTGAATTTGTAACAATTGACAGTTTTACATAAGGGGAAAGTCCAGCCGCTATAGCTAAGATTCGGCCAGACCATGTCAAACTCAGACAACAAACACCGTACAACATGAACCAATAAAACAGACAAAATAAATCCTACTTAACAAACTCTGGACAACAAACACTTGACATCAAACCCCATTCAACAAACCCTAAACAACGAACCCTAGTCAAAAAACCCTAATCAACAAACCCTAATCAACAAACCCTAATCAACAAACCCTAGTCAACAAACCCTAGTCAACAAACCCTAATAGACAAACCCTAGTCAACAAACCCTAATCAACAAACCCTAATCAACAAACCCTAGTCAACAAACCCTAGTCAACAAACCCTAATAGACAAACCCTAATCAACAAACCCTAATCAACAAACCCTAATCAATAAACCCTAAGCAAGAAACCCTAATCAACAAACCCCAGTCAACAAACCCTAATCAACGAACCCTAGTCAACGAACCCTAGTCAACAAACCCTAGTCAACAAACCTTAGTCAACAAACCCTAATAGACAAACCCTAATCAACAAACCCTAATCAACAAACCCTAATCAATAAACCCTAAGCAACAAACCCTAATCAACAAACCCTAATCAACAAACACCAGTCAACAAACGCTAGACAACGAACCCTAATCAACAAACCCTAGTCAACGAACCCTAATCAACGAACCCCAGTCAACAAACCCTTATCAACAAACCCCAGTCAACAAACCCTTATCAACAAACCCCAGTCAACAAACCCTTATCAACAAACCCCAGTCAACAAACCCTAATCAACGAACCCCAGTCAACAAACCCTTATCAACAAACCCCAGTCAACAAACCCTTATCAACAAACCCCAGTCAACAAACCCTAATCAACAAACCCCAGTCAACAAACTCTTATCAACAAACCCGAGTCAACAAACTCTTATCAACAAACCCCAGTCAACAAACCCTAGTCAACAAACCCTTATCAACGA